GAAAAAAAAGAAATAGAAATAGAAAACATGTACCGTCTTTCTATCGAGTTTTAGTATAAACCTACAAGCGTTCTATCGCGAACGACTTTCTCTGATTGGCTTCGCTACTCACCATCTATTCTGTGATAGATAGTGAGTACCGTAGCAGTGCACCCTTGTTAACAAAATGACGGCCGCTTCTTGGCGTTTTCGAAGTGTCCGTGAAGAGGATTTAGATAACGTTTTGAACTACTACTAATTGAAGATTTATACTAATACAGTTACATTATTCGCTCTCGATTTCTAAGCGTGATAGTTGACGAAGGTGCAGCGATAGAAATCTTGAGCTCATAATCTAATTGTTTAATAGAGGCACGATTCTAAACCAACCAGAGCGCGTATTTTCCATGAGCTATTTTCTACTTACTATTACTGTACAATAGAGATGCAATGTACATGTACAACGGAGGAAAAAACAAAGATGCTACATGTCTACAAGATAAAAAAGTGCCTTTATTCATCCTTCTAACCTTGATGTATTAAATTCGGTTTGAACTCGTCCTTAAAAGCCTCGCCCCACGTCGATTCCCCTCCTGTAAAGAAGACAAATAAACAGCACGTTGAATGCGAAACACACACACAAACTAAAAGCCTATATTATGTACAAACATCTTTGCTCTCCTGTTTGACCAATTTAAGTCTGCGAGGTATAACTCCCTTGGTTTTGTTTTCCAGTCTGTTCCACAATCAGAATCCCCCCAAAGTTATTAACCTCCCCTGTTCCTGATTAAATAGGCCTCTCAACTGAACAAACCCCTAACTCCTTTGAAACTATGAAAGTAAAACGTAAGATTTTTATAACAATCTCCTTGGGTTGAGTGTGTGTCATTTTCACAATTTAACCCACAAACGTATAATTTATTTATTTTATTCTCGTTTGAATGACAGTGATGTTTGGTAAATCACGCCAATTGAGAAGAAAAAAGGTTTACATTTTACTGCAGCTGAGGAAACAAGGAAGATTTGCTTTTAATTAAAAATTTACCTCGCCCAGTTCCAGTAGGATCCCCTCCTTGAATCTGAAACAAACACATACAAGTACCAAGAAATTTAGAATACGCTCTTGGTTTGATTTGATTTGAAACATCAGAAACCATATTCATTACATGCTTAGAAATACAATAACAAAAAGGCTGCGTTTTTGCTCAAGAATAAATCAGATAAGTAAGTTAATAATGTAACAGCCTTCACACATACCATAAAATTTCTTATAGATCTGTGAAAAACTAACAAGAAAATTAAAAAAAACATATCGGTTAGGTGTGTAATTTAAACTTAACTAATACCGCCAATTTCACGTCAAGAAAGAAGAAACCGCTTTCTTGTCTATTTACTTACTTGTATTATCGTAATAGCCTTCACTACAAAGCTTCATAAAATTCTCGCATGTTTTTGGTACCTAAAAAATATGATGAAACTGGTCTCAAATCTTCCACATATATGCATGTACCAGAAGAAATAAGGTGCAGTCCCAACAATATATATATTACAGCCCATGGAAGGTCACTGGAAATTCTGAGGAGGTGGGGATCTTAAAAGCCAACAATTTTATTCAGGAAAGTATGAAGCTGAACTGGAATTTCCAGGGGGAGAGAGGTTCAAACCAAAAACCTTCTAATTAACAATTAGATTATGAGCTTGAGATTTCTATCGCATGATAGTTGAGGAGGGCGCACCTCAAGTAAACTATCACACATAAATGTGGAGAGCAAATTATCTGTTATAATTGTTTTAGTGTAAATCTACCAGACGTTCAAAACTCTATCTAAATCCTCTTCACATGAGAATGCAAAGTAATGGCCACCATTTTGTTAACAACTGCATACTGCTAGGCTACTCACTGTCAACAACAGAACATCTAGTGTGTGCAGTGTAGCCAATCAAAGTACTGCATTCATGATAGAACACTAGTAGATTTATACTAAAAGGGGAGATAGATGTATTGAG